CGGTGGTGATCCCCGCTTGTAGAATTCGCTCCCCAGTGAGATTAGATTGGCATCCTCCCTCCTATCCTTTAGGAAAAAAACTGAAATTGTGGTTTTGGAACCAGGCTTTTGGCTAGCAGCAGAACGGCACGTGGGACATTGAACTGGACCATATGATTGTTATGATAATGAAAACGGCTATATGACTGTATAATTAATGTTATTTTTTTTATCTATTGTGTATTTATGGTTTTATATTGTTGTTATATTGTGATATTGCGGCATCGAATTGTTGCCAGTGTTAGCTGCTCTGGGTCCCCCCTCGGGGGTTGAGAAGAGGGGGTAGAAATGTTGTAAATAAATAAATAAATAAACAATATTCACACTGTACCTCAAAGCAAAAGAAATAATGATTAAATAAACATGTATATCAGTCATCATGCTACAATCAGCAACAAGCCACAGTTAAAGCTCCAGTATATTTAAGAGATATGGATGAAGGAGAGGAAACAAGTATTATAAGGCATTAAGTCCTGAACAACATTGCCTTGACACTTCCCAGAACTATTGGGCAGTCCAAAAAAACCCTTAGATTGTAGTCTGATTGTAGTCTGATTGTGGTCAGGGACATGCTGTTGCTTACACTTTGTAAAGCACTATTCACTAGGGCTGGGCGATTTCGTTCGTTAATTTCGTAATTCGTTATTAATTCGTTATTCTTTTTTGAGAATGAAGCGATATTGAACCATTCAGGAGCAACTAAAAAACGAAACAATTTTTTTCAATTCGTTTCGTAATTGTTTCGTAATTGTTTCGAAATCGATTCGTAATTTATTCGAAATCATTTCGTTATTATTTCCGCATGTCTGGTGCAAGTTTTAGGGTTGCTGTTTGTTTTCTCAGTGAAAAAAAAATAAATTATCACACCAACAGTCAACAACAGAGGGAGAGGGAAGCTTCCTGTCCCATTTGGAGGTTTTTTAAGCATATTGCGCGATCACGCCCGCCATTAACGAATCGATTCGTAATTGTTTTGAAATCGATTCATAATTGATTCGTAATTTACGAAATTTCATAAATAACAAAAAAATTTTAAGGAAAATTTCGGAATTATTTTAAAAATCGAAACGCAAAAACCCCCTAAAAACGAATTGAGTTTAGAAACAAATTTTTCCGTGGTTGCCCAGCCCTACTATTCACATTTGTGGTGCTAAATAATCCCAGGAAATCTGCAAGATTATTTACGGACAAACCACCAAGATCCTACACTTGGAAGGTAATTATGCTTGGTCGTGAGCAATAGCTTATCATGGTGGTGCTAAGTGATTATTGATTACTGATAGATCCAGAGTATGTATTGCTGTGTAATAAAGCACAAGGATGACTCATGGGAATTCTTTAAACATAGTTATGTTACAAAACTGAGATTTGTTATAAGATGCACAAGTCTGTAATTTCATATTCTTGTAATTTGTACTCTTCTTTTTTTCATTCCTTTTTCTAAAACCCATCACAAATGTTAGCATTTTCATTGAGGAAACTACTACTAGACAGGTATCTGTGCAGAATTAATGCGGGCAAGGAACATTTTTTGATATGTAATATGTTGTTAAGGAGTCAAAGTGGTGTTATGGTTTGAATGTTGGGCTGCAGCTTTGGAGTCCAAGGTTCAAAACCCACTGGGACATCGTCAGTGGGGGTGGGTACTACTGGGTAGTTAGGCCTCTCTTCGGCCTCTGCAGCAGCCCAGGGACTGATACTAAGAACCATCCCAGGGCTAATTAACACTCCGATCAGCCTATATATATTTTGCCCATGTAGAACTGCCCTATGTGCCATTGGGCAAGCTACATTCTCAGAGGAAGGCAAAGGTAAATCTCTTCTCAAAAAAACTTTCCAAGAAAACACAGTAATGGAGTCACCTTAGAGTCACACCATAAATTGGAAAAAACTTGAAGGCACACAGCAAAACTAAGTATTATGGGAGCCTTAAAACTTTATGATAGTCATGGGTGACTCCTTTGACCAACTTATTATCAAGATACTTCTCCATTAGAGGTGGTAAGAAAAGTATTTTGCTTCCCGTTCTACACATCTAGTTTAAAAACAGAAAATGCCTTCTTATAGACAGCTGGGATTCGTTTAATCTCAATGAGTTGTTTTGTCAAGTCAATTTACAAAGGAATAAATATGCCATCAGTGGCTTCTAAATTATATGCAACTATGTCCAGGTGACAATCGGAAAATAACTATACAATTGATACTATGGGGGCTTTGGGAGTGGGAGGGGTTAAAGAATGGTTTAAAAAATATTTGATTCTAAGAAACGGCCTGAGAATGCTGATTAATAGTAAATGAAGGACTGAAAGGTTGAATAACATGAGAAGTGTGCACATAGCATAAATCAATAATCATGTAAGCACAAGCTGAGTGGACCCTTAAATCACCTGCTTTTGAGAAAATGGACGTTTCATAGAAACTTAACACTATGCATTCAGCCAATCAGCCAATAAAGAAAAGACACCTAATTTATGAGAAGTCACATGTTTCTTGAGAAATGGAAAGTTAACTTTGAGAAAGAGTATTTGTGTTTTGGGTGGCAATTTCATTTTTACCTGCATTAGCAGGTCTCTCCACCTGCTTTCTGGCCAGAAAATAAATCTGGTTGCTTTCACCTGATCCAGTTTGTTTGTTTTCTCTTTCTGCGTCTTCTCTCACTCTGTGTCTTCACTGATCCACTGCAATAGTTATTTAGCCATCCTCAAATCAGTACATCCATGTTTCTATAGGCTCAAGTAATCAGGCGAATCGAATTTTATGCAATATTTTTAGGAAGTAATCTAGGAAATTCACATCATCTATCTCATCCACAGTGAAACTGATCTGAGTTTTCAGCTGTGCGATCAATCTTGCTGAGCCTAAATTTTTAATTATGCCAGTACCACTTTTGAGGCACACAGTTCAAGATCATGGTTGGTGGCCAGTATGACATAGTAGTGAGGCTGTTTATTTGGACACTTGGAAAATTCAGATTTAAGTCTCTGCTCAGGCTTTACTATTTTCTATATACTTTATAAAGTATATAAAAAGAGTGGTCTTGGTTGCAAGTATGCAAACCAATAAAGAGCTCTGAGGATTTGATATCTGCTTGTTTTCACTTCAACTAACCGGCACTCAAATATTTCTTCAGTCAAGAGAAAAAGACCTTTTAGAAACCATGAATATAAGTGTCTAGGTCCAGGGAAGTCATGCTACCCCTCTATTCTGCTTTGGTTAGACCACACCTGGAATACTGTGTTCAATTCTGGGCACCCAATTAAAGGGAGATATTGACAAGCTGGAAAGTGTCCAGAGGAGGGGTGACTAAAATGATAAGGGATCTGAAGAACAATTCCTATGAGGAGTGGCTTAAAGAGCTGGGCAGAAGAGAAGACATGATATCCATGTATAAATATGTGAGGGGAAGTCATAGGAGGGAGCAGGCTTGTTTTCTGCTGCTCTGCAATGGCTTCAAGAAAGGAGAGTCCACTTGAACATTAGGAAGAACTGACTGTGAGAAGTGTTTGGCAGTGGAAGTCTCTACCCTGAAGTGTAGTGGAGGCTCCTTCTATGGAGGCTTTTAAACAGAGGCTGGATAGCCATCTGTTGGGGGCGCTTTTAACGTGGTTATCCTGCTTCTTGGCAGGGGATTGGCCTGGATTGCCCATGAGGTCTCCTCCAACTTTATGATTCTATGATTCTAAGAGCAATTGAAACTGGCAGATTGGAGTGCTAATTTGCATTTAGCTATGTTAACACAAAATACAATTTCTGCCTCTTCTATCCCCTGATTGCCTCATCTTTAATATCTACTTGGGGTGTGCAATTCTGTGCTGTTTTTGGTGCTCAGTTTTCGGCTGCTCCCCTGTTCCGTTTTTAGGGACCCGTCTGAATTTGAAAGAGGTTTCTGTTTCCATGCCATTGGCACCCATGGGGAAACTTCATTTTAGGTCTATCAGCATGAAACTTGCCTCACTAATAGGTCACATATGCTCCTAAAAGCCTGCAAAGTTTCTGAATGTTTTACCAATCCATTAATTTTTTGGAATTTTTTTTAAAAAAAAATACCATAGCATTTTTTTTTAAAAAAAAATGAGGAATTGTGGGAATTGAAGTCCTAAGCTCACACCACAAGGGAGGAGGAGAGGAAAATCGATATGGTCAACCAGGCCTCTGATTGGCAAAGAAAGAAGGTGAGAGAAACCTCAACAGCCATCATGCCCCAGGAGGGAGCACAAAGTTCCTTCAGTGGTTGTATTGCTGGGAAAGCAAGTTACCATTTGCTTCAAGCAGGCAGTTGGGGAGCAGGGGGAGCTTTGGGAAGGGATGGAGGAGGTTGCCAGGGAAGAAAGCCAAGAAGAAACTGCAGCTTTCCTAATTTGCAAGTATGCCCTGCCTCCACCTCAGGCATGGTGCCGCTCAGACCCATTGTTCCCCATTAGCCAAAAAGATACGGCTGCTGTGATTTGTACCGGCTAAGGCTTCAGCTGCCCCACGCCTGACTCATTTTCATGGATTTGGCAACCAAATTCTACAAACCCTCTGAATCCAGTACACAAAAACAAAATCATGTACAAAATGGTAGGCATTTTATTACATGATAATCTACATGCAAGAATACTTCTATCTATTGCAGTAGGGAAAATTTCATTTCAGATTCTTTCTGATGAATTTATCTAAATTTACCAAAATATGAACCATCATACAAATATTTTCAACCCCATCATAGATTGACCTTCAAGGGGATTTTTAAATTGCATATATTAAATTGTAAAATTCAATGGATTTTAATGCAATCGTATTGTTTTGTGTCTCTTCAATTGATTTTTTAGTTATTTTTCTCTTTTAAAGACTAAATAGTCATTTCACATGAGCAAAGAGAATTTAGAGTCTGTTGCTTGGAAAGCTCTTTCCCCAAGTAAACTGCACTACAGACACAGATTATTCAAGAAAATGAAAAAAAACACAAGTTTCTGATGGATTGCCACTACTTTTTTATTAGGTAACAGAATATAATTTGATATAGAGCTGTATGTGTAACCAGAGCTTGCATATTAAACTTAAGACAGCATGTGTTAAGCATGGCCAGAAGATCCCCTCTCAGCATGGTCAGAGGCTCCCCTCTCAGTATGGCCAGAAGCTCCCCTCTCAGCACTCCTAATTATGCGCTCAGCATGGCCAAAAGATCCCCTCTCAGCATGACCAGAAGATCCCCTTTCAGCATGACCAGAAGATCCCCTCTCAGCATGGTCAGAGGCTCCCCTCTAAGCACTCCTAATTATGCGCTCAGCATGGCCAGAAGATCCCCTCTCAGCATGACCAGAAGATCCCCTCTCAGCATGGTCAGAGGCTCCCCTCTCAGTACTCCTAATTATGCGCTCAGCATGGCCAGAAGATCCCCTCTCAGCATGACCAGAGGCTCCCCTTTCAGCATGGCCAGAGACTCCTCTCTCAGCACTCCTAATTATGCGCTCAGCATGGCCAGAAGATTTCCTCTCAGCATGACCGGAGGCTCCCCTTTCAGCATGACCAGAAGTTCCCCTTTCAGCATGGCCAGAGCCTCCTCTCTCTGCACTCCTAATTATGCGCTCAGCATGACCAGAGGCTCCCCTTTCACCATGGTCAGAGGCTCCCCTCTCAGCATGTCCAGAAGCTCCCCTCTCAGCATGGTCAGAGGCTCCCCTCTCAGCACTTCTAATTATGCGCTCAGCATGGCCAGAAGCTCCCCTCTCAGCATGGTCAGAGGCTCCCCTCTCAGCATGACCAGAAGATCCCCTCTCAGCATGTCCAGAAGCTCCTCGCTCAGCATTTCCAGTGATGCGTTCTGCATGCTCAGAAGCTCTCTTTTCATCATGGCTGGAATCTCCACACTCAGCATTTCCATGGTCGCACTCAGCATTCTCAGCATGGGATTCTGCAAGAGTAATAAAGTACTTCATGTAGTTGACTAGAGTTCTATTTGAGTCACATGTTCTATGCAGATGCAGTGGCATCTTTACATCCAAAATTGGCGGGCCTTGTATCTCATATACATTTCTTCTTGTGATTCCCTATACATTTTTTTCTTTTTAAACTGCTGAAAATACACCCAAAAAAGGGGGAGGGGGTCACATGTATTTTAATGTTGTCTTGTGTACAACCTACCAAAGGCTTTACAAAACCATAGAATGACCCCTAATAGGCTCTCTAGTAACATTTTCAGATGTGTCTCTATTTTTAACAGGCAGGGGGACTTGCTGTACTAGTATTCTCTAATGTTTCCATTGTTCTCATTGGGACGTAAGGTGGCTTATAGCAAATATTAATAAGAGCACATACACAGTTATAAGCAAGAGAGAGAAGAACTGTATATGAAAAAGTTACTGTTAAGATGAAGTTAAACTGTTAATTGAATTAAAAGCATTTCCAACATCCATTTAAAAGAGAAAAGAGAAGTGTTAGTAATAGAGCAGACTGTTGAAAACTCTTGCAGTCATTCCCTAAAGGTCTATTGAAACAGAATTTTTATCTTGCCAATGGCAGGGGATATGCAAGTAAGAAGTCATCCTAGCTTCTCTAGGGAGGAAGTTCCAAAGTCTGGGAGCAACAACCACTGAGCAGGCCTTGATCTCACCAGTGAAGATAGTGGGACAAAGAGAAGAGCTTTCCTCAAAAGTTCTTCATTGCTCAGGCAGACTCATATCAGTCCTTCAGTCACACCTAGACCAAAGCTGTTTAGAGGTTTCTAGGTTATGGTTTCAGGTTGGGCCCAGAAATGCAACACTAGGGTGAGCATACAGCTGTTATTACAAGGGAGCTCTGTGCTCCCCTTAACCTATCCTAGGCAAAAGTGTGGTTGAAACTCTTGCCTATTAGTGTTTCTAGCTCTTCAAGGGTATCTGCAAATAAGCCTGAATACTGGTTTAGTCTGGACTATGGTAGACTTAATCTATCTATGTATTGAGTTCCATTCAACAGTGGATTGGTCAACTACACAAGGAAACAACCACCAGAAAACCAAACACCGTGTTCTTTAGATACAGATTCTGGTCTCTTCTTTAATCTCTCTTCTTTATCCCAAAGTTTTTCAAAGTTTACATCACCAGGGTATGTTTCACCTGGAGAAGCAAAGGTTAAAGTATCATAATAGCCATGTTTATATATTTGAAAGGGTGACTTATTGAGGATGGAGCAAGCTTGTTTTCTGCTGCTTCATGGGTTCAAATTCAAGAAGACAGATTCCTGAACAATAATTTCCTTATGGTAAGATCTATTCGACAATGGAATATTATATCTTCTCATGTTACAAAAATAGAGGGTGGATAACCATCTTTCAAGAGCATTTTGATTGTGTACTGTTTTCCTACATAGCAGCAGATTTCACTGGATGGCCATGATGCTCTTAAAGTTTCTCTGAAAAGCTTCCCAACCTCATGAAAATACTTCTCATATATTTGCACCTTTCTTAAAATATTATTTCTTTCTGTTCAGGAAATCATACAAAAATGACGGCAGTACCAGAAATTGAGACTGTTTCCAACTCTATGATCTATAGCTCAATGAACTGCCGGTTTGGAGACCTAAATCATGGAAATTGTTACAACAGAAAAGCAGAGGAACTGGAGTGACTGTGGTGGGACTTACCTGCATTCACTAGTATGAAGGCAAAGCCCACGATTAGGAAAGAGGCCCAGAGCTTCATTTTCATAGTTACAGGCAGGGGAGGAGAAGCTTGGATCTCAATGGAAAACTTTTCTGACTTGGGTACTTCTTATACTGCTTTATAAAATGATCATAGACCAATCAGAACTTCTGGGAAAGCATGGGTCTGGGAGGAGAAATTAAATGCAAGCTCATTAAAGAGGGATTGTCCAGATTGTAAATAATATTTGCAAAGGTCACATCTCGGAAATGTTTTACTGCCAACATTCTGTATGATGCACTTGCCAACATTTTGTTTGTACCAGCCACAGGACAATATTTCACAAGAGAAACTGTACAGCTTGGCCTAAGTGCATTTCTTCCATCATCAAACTCAGAACAATTGACAGAAGTAGTGTGGTGCAGGTGAATAGTCCTTAGACCAGTGGTTCTCAACCTGGAGTCGCCTAATAGCTGGTAAACCAGCTGGGATTTCTGGGAGTTGTAGACCAAAAACATCTGGGGACCCCAGGTTGAGAACCAGTGCCTTAGACAATGAATAATTCCAGAGTCCAAATAAACTAGGGATTCAGTTGCAAAATTATCTGTATGGAACGGGCATTTTCAAAAATTGAGATGTCCATCATCCAGTAATAGGTGGTGATTTTTATGTCAGCAGCATGGTGAATCTACTCTCAATTTAACTCCTAAGTTGCTAAACCATTTCCCCAAAATGCATTGTGTAGATTGGAAGTTTAGACAAAAACCCAACATGGGTTCATCACCATTTGACAATGAAGCCGCTGACTGCCCTCTTTACCTTTTCAAACCCATGTTTAAATCCTAATTTAAATTAGGCGCTTTCCTCCTAGAATTTCTAATGCATTTGGGATGCAGTGGCAGGACTATTTTCTCTATCACTTCTATAATGAAAAGGCTCATCGTACCAGTTTTAATGATTTCTTTACCAGATAGGCATTTGTTCTCTAACAGAAATATCCAACACATTCCTTTAAGTGGGTAGGTTTAAAAATGGATGCAGACATGACCAGGTGGAATAAATTTGAAGGGCATTTCCAATTGAGATCAAATGAGTATGGAAAAAATACATTGAATAGTCATGTATAGGATCATTCAACAAGAATAATTTTAAATATGGTCAAAGAGAAAAATCATGAATAATAGACCTATGACCATCATTCATAGCAAAATAGAACCTCCAGAACTGGGGTCTGTTGTCTACTAAAATGTCTAAGCAACATTTAAAAAAATACAATAATGCATAATGTAGCTCAGCCGTTAATATTCATGAACACTGTACTCACAAATCCGGTACCTTAAAAACATCTGTTGTATGTACACATGCACTGCTTTCTGATGTAACTGAACCAAATTGATGAAATAAAAAAAATTAGATATTTTAAACATGTTGCCTACCATTGTGGCCATGCAGTTTACTCTTCCTTCCATTATCAATCATTTTTCACTTGCATTTTCTACACCAGTGGTTCTCAACCTGGGGTCCCCAGATGTTTTTGGCCTTCAACTCCCAGAAATCCTAACATCTGGTAAACTGGCTGGGATTTCTGGGAGTTGTAGGCCAAAACACCTGGAGACCCACAGGTTGAGAACCACTGCTCTACACATTTGTTTCTGCATTTTGAAGAATGAAATGCTATTCAAGAGACCTGTTAGCAATCTGGTCTTTTATTTTAGAGGACAGTTTGAAGAATATTTGTATTTGTTGTCTTTTTCTCTAAACTGAATTACTGAAGGCATCCATGAAGCTCTCTCTCTCTCTCTCTCTCTCTCTCTCTCTCTCTCTCTCTATATATATATATATATATATATATATATATACACACACATATATATATGAGAGAGAGAGATGTAATTTTCAGGATCATGGGATGCTGGCTTCAGAAGAAGAGATGAGCTTCTTAAGATTCTGAATTGTTCTCCATCTTTGGTTAAAGTCCAAGTAAGCAGGGTTGTTAGCTTCATTTTAACACTCCTACTGGGATTCTCCATTCCTCAAATCAGTTTCTAAAAACCTAAATAAGAGGATTAGTGGCCCATGGGAAATGTAGTTGCTATGAGAGAGATAGATGGGTTTACCTGTCCAGAAAATTTAGGGAAGTGTCAGGCCATTTCCATGCCAGTCAAATGTTGATAGAAGGGAGATTATTTCTCATAATAGGCAAGCTCCTCCAATCCCAGTTAGGAAAGAGTTTACTGGAAACAAAGATTGGTGATGAACCTTCAGTGGAGACACCTTTTCCCCATGATAACTCTTTCAGGAGTGGATTTCCCTCTGAGGGCTAGATGTTTCTCACTTCCTGTTGTCTCACCCCCGTTCTTAATTATGAGTCATTTGTAAGTTGAATCTTTGTAACTCGGGGGCTGCCTATATGGTATTATACTAAGGGAACTTCCCAGCCTTGTGTGATAAAACCCTGAGTCAGATGGTTTCTGAAAAAAAGGAAAGTCCTGCTCCCAGGGTCTGGAGCAAGTCTCTCACAAACTGGAGAATTCATCAATGGCATTCCTTGTCAAAGGAGATGGTTATAAAAGTCAGCCAACCACCCATCAATAAAGTCCAAATCAATATGACTTGTCACATATGGGCTACATAGTGAAATTGCTTTAATGTTTGACAGGCAAAAAACAAAACAACAACATGGAGGATAAAAATATTATTACCAAATGCTATATGGATTCCTCAAGTTTGGGTTCAGTTGTGTTTATACAATCTGCAAAAAAAAATTCCCAAAGACATCAAGAGATTAATATCTTAATTCAAACTAATGGAATTTCGTTAATAAATATAGGCAGTCCCCAAGTTACAAGCAATATAGGTTCTGTAAGGTTGTTCTTAAGCTGAATTTGTATGTAAGTCTCCCCACTTTCTGTCCCTGTGATAACTGGATTTTGAAAATTTTGGCTTGCTATGGAAACAAGGATTGGTGAGAAAGCTTCAGTCTAGACACTTTTCCCCATAATAACTCTTTCAGGCGTGAATTTCCCTTCTAAGGGGTAGCTTTTTCTCACTTCCTGTTGTCTCACCCCATTCTTAACTATGAGTTTGTAAGTCAGATCTTTGTAACTCGGAGACTGCTTGTATTTTTATGGGAGCTGGATATTGTTGTTGTTCATTCGTTCAGTCGTCTCCGACTCTTTGTGACCTCATGGACCAGCCCACGCCAGAGCTCCCTGTCGGCCGTTACCACCCCCAGCTCCCTCAAGGTCAGTCCAGTCACTTCAAGGATGCCATCCATCCATCTTGCCCTTGGTCGGCCCCTCTTCCTTTTCTTTCTTATCATGATGTGGTCACCGATTAGTGGATCATGATGTGGCCAAAGTACTTCAACTTTGTCTCTAGTATCCTTTCCTCCAGTGAGCAGTCGGGCTTTATTTCCTGGAGGATGGACTGGTTGGATCTTCTCGCAGTCCAAGGCACTCTCAGAACTTTCCTCCAACACCACAGCTCAAAAGCATCGATCTTCCTTCGCTCAGCCTTCCCTAAGTCCAGCTCTCACATCCTAGGTTACTACAGGGAATACCATGGCTTTGACTTGGCGGATCTTTGTTGCCAGTGTGATGTCTCTACTCTTTACTATTTTATCGAGATTGGACATTGCTCTCCTCCCAAGAAGTAAGCGTCTTCTGATTTCCTGGCTTACAGTCTGCATCTGCAGTAATCTTTGCACCTAGAAATACAAAGTCTGTCACGGCCTCCACGGTTTCTCCCTCTATTTTCCAGTTGTCAATCATTCTTGTTGCCATAATCTTGGTTTTTTTGATGTTTAGCTGCAACCCGGCTTTTGCGCTTTCTTCTTTCACCTTGATTAGAAGGCTCCTCAGCTCCTCCTCGCTTTCGGCCATCAGAGTGGTGTCATCTGCATATCTGAGGTTGTTAATGTTTCTTCCAGCAATTTTCACCCCAGCCTTGCATTCATCCAGCCCCGCACATCGCATGATGTGTTCTGCATACAAGTTAAAAAGGTTGGGTGAGAGGATGCAGCCTTGCCGTACGCCTTTCCCAATCTTGAACCAGTCTGTTGTTCCGTGGTCAGTTCTTACTGTTGTAGCTGTTATGCAAGAGGAATCAGGAGAGAGACAAGGTGGCTTGGGATGCCCATCCCACTAAGGACTTGCCACAATTTATTATGATCCACACAGTCAAAGGCTTTAGAATAGTCAATGAAGCAGAAGTAGATGTTTTTCTGAAACTCCCTGCCTTTCTCCATTATCCAGCGGATATTGGCAATTTGGTCTCTGGTTCCTCTGCCTTTTCTAAACCCAGCTTGAACATCTGGCAACTCTCTCTCCATGTATTGCTGGAGTCTTCCTTGCAGGATCTTGAGCATTACCTTACTGGCATGAGAAATAAGGGCCACTGTACGGAAGTTTGAGCAGTCTTTCGCATTTCCCTTTTTTGGTATGGGGATATAAGTTGATTTTACAGTATAATAAAACAGCTAGTGATTATTGTTCTGTTTCCATGCCAAATTAGAATTAATAGTTGCAGTCTATATGCCAAGACATCCGTTTTCCAAGAGTGTTCCTGGTAAACATCCTTAAACTTCTGGCATTGGAGGCTTGGACAGAGAGAAGTTTATATTATAGCAAGTCTATCTGAAGAGCAATTAGTCCCAACGGTCAAGACTTTGTGCAAACAGAGTGATAATTTTTATTAAATATTTCCCTCTTGCCAGATTTTCAAAAAGAATTAGCAATGCCACATTTCATAGCTAAATCCAAACACACAGTAATGGTAACTTTCCCACATTGGTGAGGACTAAGAATATTGGCATGTACAGTGGTAATGAAGAACAATGCAATATATTTAATCCTATTTGATTTAGATTTAGACTGGAAAAGCAAATTTGTTTCAACAAATAGACTTTGCCTTGGTTTCCCCACTTCTTGTGAAGGAAAAATAGAATATTCCCCACTATTTTATCCTTTTGAAAAAAAAGAAATGAAACTAACTTTATGATTTTGTGTGAGTGAAAGTTCAAGAAAGAAAGCATGATACAGTATAATGTACAGTTTGGGAAATTTGGGTATGTCAAGTTCTTAAGTTTTGATTCCAACATTAACTCTGGAAATGATGCATAGTTTTCATATATTGGCCTCTATATCCTTATAGTCAAAAGACATCTACACATCAATATCATT